AGTCCGTAGGCAAATGGGAATATGTACGATAGTGTTGTCTTTCCCTGGATTAGAGGAGGCAAGGTGGAACACCGGTAATCAAATTGCTAATTGTGCGGAATGAATCAACAGTTTGGAACATCTTTTACAAATTACTCAATTAATCGATGAAAATTTGATTTGTAGAACCACCGGAGGCCTGGATTTTATTTTTCAAACAGTCCGGGGGATGTGTGGTGTAGTTGTAACAGGTACGGTAATGTTTTATGCTCGCAGCTTTATCACTGAAACCTTTTACCGTTTCTAAACTAATCCGTTTGAAATAGCTATCAGCGGGAATGTGCTTTTTTGTCATTATCCGTCCCACAACGACTGACAACCGCGACTTGTTTCTCACACGCAAGCAAAAGGTCGGCTGTATTCACCACACACGCACATACACACAAACGGGTGCGTGGATTTCCACAAGGATCCGTACTCGGTCCGTACCTTTTCCTTGCATTCATAAACGATCTACCACATGGCCTTGGAGAAAAGGTATTATTATTCGTTGATCACGCCAAAACATGGAGGACGGTAAAATATCCTGAAGATTATGACACCTTGCCGGAAAATCTCGACGCAGCTTATCGATGGTGCATCATTAATGATATCGAATTCAACGTTGAGAAATGCAAGTTTGTATTGTTGCGCCACAGGGATCACTTTCCATATTTACTTGGAAATCAGTCATTACCGCGTTCTGCAAACGAAAATGATCTGGAAGTTATTGTTCTTGAGAATCTAGAATGTTCCACACATTGCACAACAGCGTCATCAAAGGCCACACAGCACGTTGGATGCACCAATCATCGATTCATTCAAGTCACGACTGGATGAAGCATTGAAACATCTAACTTTTCAGTACCCATGAGTGAATTTGTTATTCAATTGTATTATCAACCGAACCCAGTGTGTACAGATCGATCCTATGGGACTCAATAAGTATCAGCTTTGTAATTTACCCATAATAAAAATTTGAATTTGAATTTGAATCAGGGGGAGGTGTGTGAACGAACCCGAGAGTTGTGATTACCCATTACACCCATTTGACGCAGTATATTTTTTTTCCGGACAAAAGTGCAACTGAACGTCAGTTGAAATTTCTATACTCAGCAATATGCTGCCGGCTCGGTGAATCACTCGGTATGTAGGTGTGTGTGTGTTCCAGTACATCTCTCTTGTATTTTTTCATTTTTCATTTTACTTCCTTTTATTGAATATATACAAATATACAATTTTCAAACGGCTGCAATTCAGCACACACAAACTGGGGAAATTCAGTGGTGGTGGGATTCGAATACACATCCGCAGAGAGTGATATTAATTTGGTGACCTTACCATCGGGTCATGTTGCATGTGTATCTATCTGTTCTTCAAAAGCATCCGGTCTGATTGAGCGATTACGCATGACATTACCGATGATAACCCGATTGTCCCGGCAAAATGTTCGGGGGTGAGTGGAGAGCAATTTCGTCGAACACAAATGACCTTAATTTGGACAATCCAATTTCAGAAACTCAGATCCAGATAACCATCTGTTCGTGGCATCTGTCAGCGCCTCGCTTCAAACGGGTACCCAACCTGAAGTTGCTGAAATTGCATATTTTGGCAACAATCATTTTTGGTGACGGCAAAAATGGTTCGCTTGAAAGTATTTCCATTCACAGTGCGCTAATTTATCGGAGAATGTGTTGTAAATTTTTCCATCTGAACATTGCATTGGCACTCGGATAATCTTTAGTGTTGTAAGGAAATACAACTGGGTCTTGCGAAATCCTGAAGCTTCTCAACCAATGTTTCTGATAGGGGTCAAAACTGCGGAATTTATTGTACTAATCCACGTAGGTATGAATTACGGATCACAAATGACGGTTGCAACAGAAACACAGATATGCACTACCTTTCGTACGCTGGGATCCCCGGTCACCGAGATGCAGGAAGACGGTCACGGAAGTAGCGGTTCATTTTAGAGTATCATATTTGAATCAGCCCATTCGATTGTGCGAAATCTCCAAGCCCTATTGATGGTCTGCTAACAAATCCCAAGCAGAAAGAAACAACTGTCGAATGAGTGCTCGTTGTCGGCCATCACAAATCTCTTCATCGCTTATAGTGGTACATTTATTGACATTAATCAATGGGATTAAATAATATGTGAATAGAAATATCATTGGTCAAGCAAATATCAACCAATCGCCACTTTGTTCTTCGAGTCACATGGCTTCCGCTTGAACTGCATGGCTGTTGGTTGATCGATACTGATAGTCTATGGCCCAATGTTGAGAAACTGAGATACACGGGGGCTTGTTTTGTACCGTCACGGAGAGTTGACTCACCACATTTATCGCCAGCTTGACGTGGACCCATGAGAGACTGACCTGCATCGGGCATTCCTGTTGTAATTCGTTGGGATCAAAGCATCTGAATGTAATTTGTGTACTCTTCCACGCTCAAAATCAGTCAACCGCATTTGTTGTCTCCTCCGTTCAGCGAATTCTCTCACAATAGTTCCATCTGTTTGATGTACATCGACTGCTCAAGAAATGAACTGCAGCTGGCGGAAGACTGCAAACTGGAGAGAGAGAGAGAGAGAGAGATGGTTGCTTGACAGTTGAACAGTATTGTCCATGGTTTGGGTCTAGGAACTGCGGATTAATGTACATGCATATGTATAGGCGTATGATTTATACCCATCGGTACTTGACGCCTCGTGCTTGTGCATAATGGACTTCACGTCTTGAATGGCACAAAAGAGCAATGCGGTCTTCTGGTGTACCAAATCGTGCACAGGAAATTCCTAAGCTAGTTGTGACATTCCAATATCATCTCGTAAATGTATATTAGTGAGAACTATAGCCTATATTAGATACATCACTGTCGATTTCTATAATCCGCTTCGAGTGGTACCCAATAACTAACTTGTAACATGTATTTGATTTTACTGTTCAACTTAGCAACACAGAATGCAGTTCAACGACCATAAAGTGCGCGGTTTTGAAGACGCCCGTAAAGGGATGACGAAGGACGTGTTGAACTTGCTTCATTGTACGAAACTCCAACGGCTCTGGGGAGGGGGGGGCGGAGGAATTATTTCACAATGTGACGCGAATCGGATAACCAAGTGAATTTATTATTCACATCTCTCATAACGTGCATACACAAGTTTTTGCTGATCGGAACAATCAATAATTTGTGGTGTAGCTCCGATAAGACAGCACACTTGAACGGTTCCGTTCAGGCACCAGGGATTCTATTAGTAACAATTGATTTTGTGGGATTATTATCCCGTTGACAAGAGATGTGACAACAAGAAAATTAATTCGAGATTTCCATTGAGCAGTATCTCTATTGACATAGTAGTTAAAAGGGACTATTGGATTTTTAAAAACGGTATCGATCAAATCTCCAGGATGAACAGAACAACATGAACAAGGTATTCAGAAATCTGTTTGATCGATCTGTTCGTTATTCAAGCGTTTAGATATCTTGACGACTTTAGGTTTAAGGCAAAGACAAAGTTAAAGTCAACGTTTTATTATGGGAGTTACTCACAACTTTATGCTTCTCTTCTCTCTATCCTCACCCACAGAGGACACAGTTGAAATTGTTTCACGGCGAAAAAAAAATGATAAAGTGTCACATAACGTTCCGTATAAGAGATAATGTGGTTTTTATAGTATTCGGAATAGGAATCGGAGTCGAACAGAGCGCGAACTCGGATTCGGACTGAAAACCCACTGAGTAGCGCGCAAATTCAGATAGAAAGAACCAAGACGAGCTAGGGATACAGTTAGTTCTATTCGAAAAATCATGCAAATATATTTCACAGGTATCACACAATCATTGATCGATTCTTCAATGTCCAATCGACAAGGATATGGTTTATTTGTTTCTCTTGTTGCATTCAGCCAATCCGATTAGTGACAACTGAGACCACAAGATTGGTTGCCTAATCCGTTTCTTGATTGGTTACCCGGACGCTGTGCAATGGTGCATGTGTACTCGTTACACGATCACCACAGGTGTCCAACGAATTTGCGTTTGTGTTTAGTGGTGTAGGAATGTGAGGTGTACCAAGGTTTCATCGAGTCTGCGCTTGAAAGATTCAATAGTTGGTGCACAAATCACGTGAGATGGAAGGGTGTTCCAAGTACTGCATGTTCTGACTGCAAAAGATAGACGCTGGCGTTCTAGTCGACACTTTGGAATCACTAACTTGAAACGATATCCCCTAAAGTGTATGTTGTTCGATAACGTGAGCAGCAGCCGACATGGACGGTTTGGGTTCTACAGTATTTGATACGTCAAAGTCAAGTCCCCTCGAATTCGGCGGTACTGAGAACAATATAATCCCAATGATCATAATCTCTCTTCATAGATGAGGTCGAATGTACACTGATAGCAAAAGTGGGAAAAACACTGTTTCAATTCGACCAAAGACTCCCCTAAACAAGCCGACATTTTTCACAGAGAAATCGATCGAGCAGCTTGAGTCCTCTTAAACAATTACACCTAAATCCTTCTCACTTGAGGTATGTGGCAGCTGCTGGTTTCCGTAGAAATAGGAGAATTTACTCTTTTGTCGTCGGGATAAACTTTTGCATTTAGAAACATTGAATTCAATGTCGTTCCCCACAGACCATTCATCAGCCGCATTAGGTGTTCCTTGAGGTGTTAGGGAGCCAGCGGGTTCTGTTACCGTATCATAATATCGGCTTCATGAGGTTTCAACCATGAAACTACGTCAAATAATTGTACTGTTTTGGAAAGTACTTGTAAAAGATTTGCTTATTTCATCGATCGAACGAATACGTCACGAAGGCTTAGACTTTTTCCAACACCAAATATGATCTTGTTTGAGTTAATCACGTTTGGTTGCATACACACATTGTTTGATCAACATGGTTCGATCGATTGGACTATTTCGCTATTGCACAATCACATTTTTTCCTGTTTTCTCATCGAACTGCCTGATCCAGGATTCAAACCATCCAGAAGCCCTTGATTCTTTGACCAAAAGACAGGAATTTCTTGCCAAACACGGTCTTTGTGAGTTAATTGTTCGTTGCATGTCGGACACGAAAATCGGTGAGGCCACATTTATGAAAGCCTTGCAGGTGGGTAACAGCCTACTTGCTGACGGAAACCGATTTGTTCAAGTGAGTTGAAAATCCGCACTAGGGTCTTTGTCTGTCTGGAACCAATACTGATCATTTGCATAGGACAGGTTCGTTTATTCCGTTTGTCGAATGTGATCCAGATAGACGAAAATATGAGACCAATATGAGAGGATTTGGTTTTGTTTGTATGACGAATTCGTTGTGTGAATGGGGCGTGAGATGAAAAACTGGGAAACAATTGGCCAGCTGTTTCAATCTGGTTGGGTCTCATCTGCAGCAGTGCAAATCCCCATCCGGCCGAATTGGTGGGAATCGAACCCGAGACCCACGCAAGCATACTACCCATTTGACCACCGGGCAGCTGATCAGACCGTTTCTGATTTTGAAACTACACAATATAGCACAACCCATCTTTGTGAGCTTGTTGCGCGTATCGGTCCTCGCTCATCTTAGCACTAGCCTCCAAGCGGATTATGACTCGGTCGAAACAGCTGTCCATTTGTGATTCCCAGCTTTTCCGGTCACGCCTCAATTACACGACGAATTCATCACATAAACGAAAATAGTTCACTAAACGCGGAAACTGTTTTTCTTCTTGTTATTGTTTCTGTTGTTACATTCCAATTTAACCTGAATCTATTGCTGTCGAATGACCTTGTAATTTTCTTATCTAGGATTGTGATTTGATTAATCCTTAGTTAATGCCGTTTCATCCCAAACTGAATATCCGCTACAGGCATAGAAGTTTATGGCTTAGTGTGTGTGTGTGTATAGTGTTTAATTTTGCCTGTCCATCAGTCATTTTTCGTCCTCACGCTCAGCCACCAGTGCG